GAATCCTGAGGTGAGGAGAGAAGGGAGGAATCCTGAGGTGAGGAGAGAAGGCTGATGCCTCCCGGGGTGTGGGGCACAAGCCCTGCTCACACCAAGTCCCAGCGTGGGCCCTGCCCTGGAGCAAGCAGCCCTTCTCCCCACTTTGTCATGCCACCTAAAGGGAGGTTCCCAGAGCCAATTATCAGAAGAGCAATGCAAAAACACATACCAAGATCCTTCACGCTCCCATAAAGAAAAGGAGGATTCCACACTTCGGGGAAAAACAATGAAAGTCCCAAAACACACAGAAGCATCAGGGCTCAGAGGAGGAACACGAGACCCTCTTGGAAACAAGAGCTTTGGAGGTGGCCCTCCTCAAAAGGCACCTCTGCCAGCATCACCGGGCCCTGAGAAGACCCACCTCTGTTTGCTGGAGGTCTCTTCAGCCTTGGGCCGCCAGCCCCACGGCACCAGCTGCAGGTTGTCCAGGCGATTGTCCACAGTCACAGCGTTGAGGTGTACCACCTGGAAGCCCGGGGCCACGCCCCCCCGGTGCCGCTCCCTAGAAACAGACAGCAAACCCTGCATCTAACCCTGCATCGCTGCCTCCCACCCTCACAGATAACCAAAGTCCTCCAGGAAGAAATGTCAGCCATGTGATCTGATCAGGCCCCTGCTCCTCTGGAGGAGGGTACCTCACGCGGAAGCTGCTGAGAGAAACCCAAGCACCTGATCTGTGGCCCAAACAGGACAGGGATACAGGGAGGACCTGGCCCCTGGACTTCGGAGCACAGACAGCCAAGGGTGGAACACAAAACCACCTGAGCAGATGCCCTGGAGACAGCTCCCCATCTGAGTTGTCCCCACCATGCACACCAGGGGGCTCAGCAAAAAACCAGCAAGGGGAGCAACCACCGTCCCTCCAGAGGCCGCCAGTCCCGGGCAAGCTTCCAGCAGAAAGTCCACTTGGTGTTTGAAGCGTAACATACAAATCATTCATTCCTTTGAGTTAGTGGCAAAGCACACAAAAATAACTGCGAGATTCAGGGAAGGCAAGGCAGGGCCTCAGTGGGGCAGGGGGCTCCAGGCGCCCTGTGCCATCGGAGCTCACCCAGGACCCCAGTGGCAGGGGGCAGAGGCAGCTTGGAAACACCCACCACAGCAGTTCATGAAGGAGTCTCCCAGAGCCCCTTCCTCGGTTCTTGTCAAAGGCATAGGCAAATATCTTAGCACCATTTCCATCTGCATCCACTTCCATTCGGGCCTGAGAAGGAACAAGGGAAAGAGCTGTTAAAAAGCCTCCAACACTCAGCAACACTTCAATTCCCTCTTAGAAAAACCAAGTGAAACAAGCAAGCCAGAGGGACAAATGCCAGCCCTGTCCCTGAGACCCTGGGGAGTGCAGAGCCTCCCATAGGCACATGGCTCCCAGGGGCCAGCGTGGCCCACCACCACTCTGTCTACCCAGGCAAGAAACACTCACAAACAACTCTGCAAAATACAATGGACATAGGCAAACACATTTTCCTACCCTTGAAAAAAGCCCACAGTGCAGTGAGATAGAGAAACCCCTGGACAAGTCACTACTGTGAATGTGTGGGGCACAGAGATAAAGTGTGGTGAGGGAGGCCAAGCTCAGTGGCAGGAACGGAAGTTGGGAAGAGGCAGGAAGACCCCATGAGAGCAGAGAACGAGAGGCAGCTGGGCAGCCAGGAGGGGCTAGGGCAGGCTCAGCAGGTGGCAAGCTCTAAGGAACAAGGTATTCGAGCTAACAGACATGGTCCATGTGACACAATCGCAAACGTGAGAACATTCCATTTGCTTTCAAGAAGAGCTAACAGCTGGGGTGAAAGTGAGGAAAGACCAGTGTCGCCAAGCCGCGTGGGCCACAGTGGGAGCAACAGCCAGGTTCTGCGGGGCCACGGCTCCATGTGGGGCTGAGGGCTCAGGGCTCACAGGCCAGCCCCAGATGTCCACTTGTGGGGCCACCTGCTCTTGCAGCACAGGGGAGGGCTCGCTCCTCGTGACCCTCCTGGGCACTGACCACAAGCATTAAGGGAGGGAACAGGCATCCTTACTTACCTCAAAGGAGTAGCTTTCCACCAGCGGGATGTCCTGCTCATCGATCAGCGTGTATTTGGTCTGGAAGTTAACCACATGTTTCAAATCATTACATTTGAGATCTGCGTGAGGTGCAGTAACCTTATAACCAGAACAGGCAGGAGCCTGTTGCATTTTCCTGTGAAGTGGAAAGTAACCACAGGCCTCTTCAGACCAAGACAGCTCAGCACACGGGGGCCTCATTCCACCATTTGGGGTGGTGCAGTCTACGCCAAAACACAGGCAGACTGGTTAAAAGACAGCAGACCACTTTCATCTGCTCCAGAGGAGCTGGTATCAGGCCTCATCCTCGCAGGCCTAACCCCAACAGTGGCACCGAACATTTAACACACCAATAAACCTAGGCAGAAACGGTTTCACTGAGCTGAGGGAGGGTCCGGGGCTGAGGCAGAAGAGCCAGAAGGTTTTGATTAGGGTGCGTTTATTAAGCTGAGCTGCTCATTGAAATGCCCTTTTCAGTTTTTTGTCCATCTGAAATGTTCCAAAGAAAAGCTGTAAGGGATGACGATGTCATCGGCGGTGGAATCAGAAGGGGTCTCAGGTCTCTGACCTGACTGGGGAGCCCACCCTTCCCTGGTGGAAAAAAGCCTCCTCCCCAGCAGGCCCTGCCTATGCTCTTGCAGCAGGGGCAGGAAACAGGAACAGGTCCCAGAACGGGCCAGTCTCCCTCTTGGCAGTTTTTCTTCTGGGATCCGAACCTGTTTTACCTGACGCCGCCTGACACTGCCTCCGCTCCTCTCTCCCACCCGAAGCTGCAGCCGCTGGCGATGGGAACAGGGCTCCCACCCGGGTACGGACCCTGGCTGGGGCAGCTGCACAGGTGGCTCCGGGAAACCGCCAAGCCTCAGTGCCCACAGGTGCCGTGGAATCCCCAGCCTCAAACGTGCAGCGTGGGGGCCCGGTAAGAAGAGAAATCGAGGAAGGCCCTGAGTCTGCAGCATCAGGGCCCAGGCTTCTTCCTCTCTGCTCTGAGCCCGAGGCTCAGCCTAACCCGGCCAGCCCCCGGCAGCGTTACAACGAGCCCGAAGCCCTGCTGAGAACTGGGAGGCAGAGAAGAGCCCACACCGGACCCGCCTCGGCGAGAGGTGTGGAGGTGGCGCTGCCTCGGAAAGGGCGCTGTGTTCAAACCGTGTGGCCGCACCGGCAGCCCGGACGCCGCGCTAGGCCCCG